TTTCCATCTTCAAGGTAAATTATCATTTTCAAAAGTCCTTTTGGAAAGGTATAGGCTCTCTCTTTGGCCAAGATTCAATCTTCTTGAAGTACTTGACAGGCACAGCTCCATCAAAGCCCTCTGTTAAAATCACCTTGTTGTCGGATATATATAGCTTCATTCCCTCTGTTGGTCATAAACTAGAGTTAGAAACAATACAGCCAAAAAATGCCTTTTGTTTATACACAAGGAAATGTTGTGTCGTTTAATAATTCGCACCTTCCAAAGCCTTTCTTACATCGAGAAAGATCAAGACATTAACATCTCGTCTCATACCTGAAGAAGCAAGTCAACAGTATCAACACCAGTTAACAATGCACAAGATGATGTCATCCATTAAAAAAAATTATAGCAACTCTCTTATTTACCATACTAATACCTGCTTGAAATTTGCATATCATAACAAATATCCATCTGTTGTGCACTTTAGTAAAACAAAAACAAATACTTTGATCAAATTCATAGGATGTTTCATTGTTTTGTAATATATAGACTAAACATCTCACCAGTAAATTCATATTCAGCAGTAAAAAGTAAATAAATAAAATGACAGATCGCATCACGTTGTATGACCGACAAAATTCTTACCACTAATAACTTCTCCATCGGTTGGCAAGCCACATGAGAAATGGACGTGTAATCTCTTCATGCGCTTGAGACCCCCTTCCAGAATTGACTCCAAGTTCTTCTTGTAGGTCCCATGCACGCAAACTGCCCATAACCATGCATAGGAAAATTAATTCAGATGNGTATATAAAGGAGAGCTCGGGATAGTGAGCAGATTTAGGGCTCGTTAATGTTAAAAAAATGTCATCCTGCTGAAAAAAAAAAAAAAGAAAATTGAAAACATTAACGGCACAGAACAGTTTACATAACACTTTACATAACACGGGGATAACTCCCATAATCGTCTTCCTTTAGATACTTTAACAATTGCACACACTGCAGTAATTGCAAGCATACAAACTAACCTGCATAGTGTGGCCTTGATTCGCACGTATTAGAAGCTCCCCATTGTCTTCCAATATGCTAAACCGCTGCTTGTTGTCCCTTCTGACAGCCTATTGGAGTATTACACATACAAATGAAGTATTTCCAAGCATAAAAGCAAGATAACCAGCATCAAGTAGCATTCTCATTAAACAAGTTTGAAAAAGTGCAGGCGTGTCAAAAACATGGAAGGTTATTTCATTCTACTTTTTCCAAGTAAATAGGTGACCACTTACGTACCAATGATTCACAAATATATTATAGGATTCAAAGGTGTCACTTTTGCAATATTGTTCTGAGTAAGGAAAGTGAAATGCGAGCAACAATGTGTTCCAAAAGAAGTCTAACTAACGAACATCCAAATTTAACAAGTGCCTGGTGTCAAACCTCTTTAACTTCATCGGCAGTATGTGACTGAAGTGGTATATTAGCAAAAGTTTTAAGATTCAGCTTCAGAAGGTCTTGCACCTTCACATATCCATCACTTCTCATATCTAATTTTAACTCAGAGGCCATGTGTCTCAGTATACATGTTCTGAAATATCAATAACAAAAATAACAGATGTTAGTGAATTGTAAATAGAGCTATAACTCAATCTAATTGATTGCAAACATCAAGAACACATATCTATTTTACATTTTAATAACCGATGAAGATTGACTGAACTGTAGGAGATTTGGACCCGATAAAACTTGTATCAACATTCGAAAATGTAGAACGTGCAATACACACTCATATATTCAGAAACTTCAAATTCCAGCAGAGGGCTATAATAACTAATAGACAAGAGCAGTTTAAACTTCATAAACAGTATAGAACATAAGCAGAAAAGCATGAAAATTAGTACAACTTCAAATGGAACTCAACCTGCAATTGTGCACACAGTTTATAGCCCAATGACAACATACCCAGTTGTCTTAAAAATCACAAAAACCGTCCCTTAGCATATATATTTTATACAAACAGGATAACTTGTTTTGAACAGTCCCTATAATGCAAAAATGCCTTTGTAAAGAGCTTACAGTAATCTGCCAAGAGCATCAATTTTGTCATTCCCAGAAGAACCCCTGCCGCCGCCTCTCGATCTTTGGCCATATTCTTTCATTCCCAACCCTCTGCCTCGACCCCCACTACAACAGCCAACAATTACACAGTAAAAATTAATATTAATATTTTTTTCCCTTTACAAAAAATTAAAAACACAACAACAATCAACAAATAAATAATAAAACAAAGGGCACGTATTATAATTGGCGAAAACCCTATGTTTAGCTAGTATTCCGCCGTAGAAAACAAAAGATCCCGGCGGCGGATTTAGGAAAGAAAGAATTATTACCCTCTGCTAGAATGGGCGGAGGCAGTGAAGGAGGATTTTCCGGCGTAGGGATTGTTTGGAATCTCCATGAATATCGAATTTTGTAATCTAGAACGCAACAGAGGAATAGTGTGGAAGAGAACAGGCGGCGGTGAAACAAGGCGGTTACATAGAATTCGTAACCCAACGCCGGTGAAGGAAGCCAACATAAAGACCGCAAGTTTTGCTTTTTTTACATATCATACAGAATAAATATTTTTTTTTATTTCTTTTTTAAGTATATGATATTTTAATATTTTAGCAGTATAGCTATATATTTTCAAAGTTTACAAAGTTTCATTAATTTTAGTTGTACTAGATAATGAATCAAGATTTACTCTCTTCATACTAATTTGATCTGGACTAATAGAACATTTTACACCTAGCAATAGGGGCTCAAAATGCCCAAAGAATATGTTGGATTTTAGACGTATGAACCCAGTGCACGCGTAGCGGAATTTTAAAAAAAAAAAAAAATTACCAACAACGAAGATCCGATTATAGCTATACAATATGATCTTAGATCGCGTGAATGATTAACGAAAATTTATATTTGTTCGTCTATGTCCTCGACTATGGTATCCACGCAACTCAGTTTTTCGGTGCACGATCTAACATCAATGAATCCTTCCAGTGAAGAAGCTAGGAATCCTCGATCCAGAAAGTTAAAGAGTGTTTTTTTTTCACAATGTGTCTCTCTTCTTCTCTTATGATCAGACAATGAGATAATGATCTACTTATAATTAGGTCAAACTTAATTATATGGGCCTTAGGATACCCTATAGTCCAATAGGTAATTGGACCTAATCCAATTAATAATTTAATTAAATATAAATCTAATTTAATTTAATTAAATATTTTCTAACAAATAAATTAATCTCATTACTCATAAATAAATATTCCAATCTAATTGAATATTTAACATTCTCGATTCACTCTTAGTCGGAAAACTGATTGCATATTGTGGGACCCTATGGGCCTTCATATATTGACATAAATCTAATTTATGATCCTTACGAAACTCCTAGACTGCGTCGAAGGACGGACTCAAAATATGAAGTACGTTTACATGGACAAAGCAAACAAACCTTTAGCGTAGAACTCAATGGTGATATGGTCCCTTCATTCATGAACCACTCGATTAAGCTTAGGACTTGAGCGTGTGTCTATCCAAACAGCTTAATCATTTTATCTTATCTCACTTGTTGATTTTAATTAATTGTATTTGAACACTATTTCAAATATAATCATGTGCATTGGTCAATGACTTTATCAACCCAGTAGAGAGAAAACGAGTGGTCTCTCGAAACTATATTCGAGGAATGAATCCTATCTTGGCCCAACTATTAATTCCATGTACATTGTGATCAACCCAACACAAGCCCGTATCTACCCATAAGGGCGTAAGTGTTGGACTAGGTCTAAGTAAATCACTCTATACATGAATTGTGTATTAACCTCAATCAAAGGAACATTTCACCATTACACACACCGGTACTCTCATAGACACATAAATAAATGGTTTATAGGTAGGGCATTAGACATGTCAAAACGGGCTGGCGGGGCGGGCCAGCCCACAACCCGCCAAAACCCGCCATTTGGCGGGGCGGGGCGGGGCGGGGCCGGCCCGCCATCCTGGCGGGTCTTCAAAATGCCAGCCCGGCCCACCCCGCCATGGGCCGCNGGTCATTTAATCATTTTATAATTATCATTATGTCAAAATTAGGACCCAAAAGCCAATGCAGCAGATTGAGAGGATGACTTGGCGGTAGGGTGGGCAGCCAGATGCGCGTATGGAGGAGATAAAGAATCGGGCGGAGGAGGACGAGCGCGAGTGGTGACATCTCCTAATCTCCCAGCCGTCGCCGTCGGTTGCGAGCCACCAGGTGAGGAGCTAACTGCTGCAGTCGAGCGCCGCCGGAGCTTCGCCGGCGAGCCACGCATCAATCCCGGTGAGCTTATGATTGAGAGAGAGGAGTCATGTCTGGGAGAATTTTCAATTGAAGATGAGAATTGAGAGAATGAAATTAGGGCGCATAATGATTCAGATCTAGAAATCTGCACTGCCCGATTCCTCTTTGAAATATTCTTTTGTATTGGGCTCAGGTTTCATCCTTTGAAAAAACAATAGTGTGGGCTTATATTATATGAAGTTTATTTTTTGTGTTGGGCTTCAGAAAATTAGTGTATGTAATATATATTAATTAATATATTTATATATTTTGAAGAAGGCGAGCCAGCCCACGGCCCGCGCGGGCTGGCCCGTTTAGGCCCGCTCCCCAGCGGGCCTCTAATATCCCAGCCCAACCCACTCTTTTGGCGGGGCGGGGCGGGCCGGCCCGCGGGCCTCAGCCCGTTTTGACAAGTCTATAGGGTATGTCAATACTCTCCAAATTATCTATGTGTCCATCACGAATAACAATTATTCATAGCAGTAAGACATACTATATTCTTCAAGAATATGATGTAGACTACATGTCAATCTATCACGTATCATTAATATCCCTTTCTTAATGATCATCGACTGAGGCGATTTGAGATTTATACTTTACCAATTAACATCTCACTCTATTAATGACAATATTAACTCAATGGAGCAATTAATTAATAAATTGCAAACAATCGAACAATTATTTAGTTAATTGCAATACCATAATTATAATCTAATATAATTATTAGGGTGATCATGTATATATGTCCTCAAAAAGATTGTCTTTAGGACACATATACCAACAGAATAGACATACGAAATAAAAATGGAAGAACATGTCCTCAGATGTCGAACAGGGACCCAAAGGCCGAACAGGTCCTTAAATGCCGAACAGGTCCTAAAGGCCGAACAGATCCTCAAAGGAGAAATAGGTCCTTAAAATAAGAACAGTTCCTCATAAGACGAACAAAACCCCAAAGGCCGAATAGATCCCCAAAGGCCGAACATGTCCTCAAATGCCGAATAGGGCCTCAAAGGTCGAATAAGTCCTCAAGGATGAACATGTCTTTAAAAAACCGAACAAGTCCTCAGATGCCGAATAGGGCCCAAGACCGAACAAGTCCTCAGATGCCGAACAGCGCCCCAAAGGTCGAACAGGTCCTCGGAGTCGAACAGGGTCTCAAATGCCGAACAGGTCTTCAAAGGAGGAACAAGTCCTTAAAATACCGAACAGGTCCTCAGATGCCGAACAGGGTCCCAAAGGTCGAACAGATCTAATGCATCATTGAGAATAGTTTGTCAGACCGGCCTGAACAGGTAGCTCGATTAGATTGGTCTATGAGAGCTCTAGTATGTTCAAAGTTAAGTTATTCAGTCAAGTAGCTTGTGTGAGGGATTTAGGTACCGACTGACCTGAAGAAGACGACTTGGGTATGTCGACCTCCAAGAGCCTGGCAACATAGCCGACCTGGGGGTATCGAGGTCATACGATCTGAGGTCCTAATTATAGATTCCGTCGTGTTAGGATTTAATTTGTTAGATTCGAATATGCATATTGACGTTGTTCCTAATAGAACCCAACAGATAGTCGGATTCAAGAATACATGTAAACAATACTTATTTGCAATTCTAATCTACTATGCGTTTCGCTCGAACAAATTAATTTATATATGTCACGCAATTAGAATAGTGCACAAAGACGAATTAGCATGGACTCTGATACCAGTTGTTGGGTTCTATGAAAAACGTCATCGATGTGCACATTGAATCTATTAAAAATAAATTCTAACAAAGCAGAATCTACAGTTAGGATCAGGACTTACGGTCTAAAAATTTTGTTGACTCTGAAATGTTTCTGACTATCGCTGTTGGAGATCGTTTGAACCTTAGAGTCCGTTGAGCAATCGAACTGGCCTTGGAATTTCTGAACTGCTATAGACTGTACCCGAGCTTCTGGAGGTGGTCTGGACTGTCACGACTCCCTTGGTGCAAGTACGTGTCGCCTAGGGTCCGCTAGTGGCCGAGTTATTGAGATTGCAAGGTCTGGACGCGCTGTTGCTGAGGCTCGTGCGGTCTAGTACAGCTGTCGCTGAGGCCTGCGCGGTAGGATGCTCTAGACACCTAGGTCTTGTTGTGGAGTTTCTGGGACGCATGGGTCACGTTAGATAAGTACATGGATCTGCTGCGAGGCACACGGGTCGTGCTGTGGGTTGCGCTGGGAGCACACGGATCTCGCTCCGGGTCGCGCTGGGATGTCGCGGGTCATACGAGAGGGACGCGAGTCGCACTGTGGAATGCTGCTCTGTGCTCGCGCGGGTCGAGTGCTGTCTCCGTGGATGTTGCGCGGTCTACGTGGAACGCTGGGATGCTGCGTGTGGTGCTGCCTACGTGTGCAGTCAACCTAATCACGCTAACTACCTACACGAGCTGTGAACGGTCATGCGAGGGCAGTGCTCAAGTGGCACGTGATAGAAGCACGTACAGCTGCAGCTAGAACATTTGATGCGCCTATCTCCGATGGTCGTGCTCTCCACGTTTCGTGGTCGTCTGAGGTGTTGCGGGGTTGAATACATTCAACGGGATGCACATATATATTCGTTGGGATGTGAAAAACAAAACCTCGGGATTTTATGTTGTATGACCTTTATACTTTCTTTGAATCGTCTTGGTGGAGCGACTAAACGGAACTCATAATGCCTCTCAATTTTCTCTCCTAAGACCTCTCTATTTTATCTGAATTTTCTCAAGAAGAGAACTCTTGTTCTTACATATAATCTCACGTTAGGAATATTTTGTTTGACACTAGGGGACTTAGTATATTTATAGGCTATAATAGGGACCATAAGGAGGTGCTAAATATGGGCTTCTAAAATAGGAATAGAAAATATTGTATTCACACATTGCATTCACACCCTATTCCTACTTGAATAATAGAACATTCCAATAGAGTAAAATTATTGCACTCCCCATTTAGCTCTGAATTACAATTAATTCGTTCCTGACTAATAGCTCGATTTACCTCTTCATGTTGTTTAAGATATAATGTTCGTTAATTAATTTATTTCCTGACATTATAATTTATCAACTTCTTAAACTGAAAGTAGTACCACTCAATTCTTTATTATTATGTCAGAAATTAATCCATCAGTCGGGTTTATCATAATCCTTCTTGAGCTCATTTTGAGGACATCATCACCTCGGCGGATCGGGACACGGTGACGGTAAACAATCCTAACGACACATCATCTAAACAACAACACTTACCAAAATACCGAGTATGTCAACCTAACA